AGTACCCACAGTTTCACTTATCCAGTACCTGAACATATATATATATATATATAGAGAGAGAGAGAGAGAGAAACCAGTAGGACTACGGTATCTGCAGGGAATAGGTTTCAAGCCCCCCCATCCCGGAAAGCATGGGTATAAAAAATGAATGTTTCTATACCCATGCTTTCCGGGATGGGGGGCTTGAAACCTATTCCCTGCAGATACTGCGGTCCTACTGGTTTCTATCCATCACTGCCTGCCCTTTGGACTTTACATTTTGGTTGTAAAAACAGGATGAAGACATTCCAATGCGAAAAAAATGACATGGTATCTCTCATATCTCTTTCCTGGCTGTTTCCTCTCTCACTTCTAGTCTACTTCTCCAAGCTTTTGAGAACTTCACAGCATAGTTACCCCAAAATGCACTTCTCTGCTGAAGTAAACCTAGACCCATGATAGACAAAGTTAATCTCCCCCCCCACTCATTGCAATTAAAGAGCCATTGTTCTCAACTTTAATAAGGTATTAAAATGGAGCCTCCAAAAGTCCCAAAGGCTGCCGTGAGAGGGTTGAAGCCAGACCCCCTTGGGCAAGTCGGCTCCTTTTCCCTTCCCTCTCCAGCGCAGGCACTTGACGTCCACCTCAGGTCTTCCATGACAGCCCTCCTCCCGTCCATTTCCCTCTGGAGGCTGTTTGTTTCCATTGAAGGCACGTGGAGGCACTGGTTGCTTTTTACCCTGACCCCTACTCGGCGCCCATACCCACCATTGTCCATGTCTGGCAGCCCAGGGACTACGTGAGCACCTTTTACATAAACTTCTGATTCCTTGCTTCACAGCCCTTGCCTTCTCTATCAAGGAGAATGCCCCCCATACATGCACACCCAAACCCAAGGAAAGCCCTCCTTTCTTAGGCTTAGCTTCCCTCTGTGTCCACCTCGGCTCCAATGATTATAATATTAACCTTAGACATGCAAAGCTGGAAGGGATCCTAGAATCTCCAAACTTTTCAGAGAGAAGCCTGGGGAAGGGCAGGAGCTGCGTTGTTTCCTCGCGGCGGATAGGCTGAGAGAGAACGCATGCATATTAGGGCAGGGGATGAGCAGGAAACTAATCCTGTTGCCAAGCACTGTTAGGGAAGGTAGGAGCGGGATGGCAAAGGTCCTAGAGTCCAGGCTGGGCCAGATAAAAAGGCAAGGCGGGCCGGATGCGGCCCAGGGACTATATTTTGGAGACCCCCTGATGTAGATTATTCCAGCATTAACTGGGGTTTGGACTTGATGGCCTTATTGGTCCCTTCCAACTTCATTATTCTATGATTCTCCTGAACAAGCAATGAAATCCACATCATTCCAGCAGGGATGCATTGGGAAAGTCTCCCTAAAGAATTGTGATGTAGACACTTACTTTAATCTACCTCTGTTCAGGGACATCAAAAGAAAAACAACTCAGACTTGCATCACTGGAAACAGATTCACATTTGCAAAGAAAATCAAGTAGTTTGGAGAACAGCTATTCTGAGGCTTAATTATATGAACTTCGATTCAGGAAGGACCAATAAAGGCTTCACAAGCACAACTGTGTTAAGAATTTCTCAGGAGTGTTTCCTTGCCCACATTGTTTAGCTTGCCTTCAGTCAAGCAGTGTGAAGCAAACGCCCCTTATATGGGTCATTTATTTTAAAAAGACTCTTCTGTTTTCCTTGAAGGAGACTAAGGTGTGTAATTTTCATTGCTACAGTTGTATATGGAACTGACAGAAGAAACAGAAATTAGGACAGAATACCCATATATCAGAAAATATTGACTGATACAATTAGTAAAATGCAAGGCAGATCCATGATTAGTCTAAGATATTTTCAGCCTAGACAAAAATGATGGGAGAGAGAGAGAGAGAGAGAGGGCGGGATGGTCAGATAGACAAAGAGACAGATGAAATCCTGCCATTTCCCTCATTAACGAACATGGGCCCCATCCCCTAAAAAACAGAAGCATCTGTATGGGCATTTCTAACATTCCAGATTACTCCTCTCATCCAGTTAGCCACTAGAGTCGGGCAGCAGGTGGTTCTTCCTTTCAGGCAGTCCCCAGTTCAAAGATCCATGAGATTACATAGAGCCCTTGATGAAAGGACAAACTTCCTTTCAGGCAGTCCCCAGTTCAAAGACCCATGAGATAAATTACATAGAGCCCTTGATGAAAGGACAAGCCCGCACCAAGGCCCCATTGGCTTGGACTTCACTGTAAGTATGGAGGCTCAAATAAGGATGATTGTGGAAGAAACATCTCAAGGAATAATTATTAACTTATCTCAGAATCTGTAGACCTCAGACAAACCATAACAACTATAAGTCTATAGTAAACATGTAATATAAACTTTTCTGAAGCAGTCTTAATTGGCTACAAATATTAACAGAATGAATAAAAAGTGAAAGAGTACCAATTATAAGCCGGTAAATAAAATACTCTTTTGTTCATTATCTGCTGCTCTGGAGAAAATCAGTATGCATCTCTTATAAATCATTAGAAGCAAAAATATTCAATTAATCCTTATTTGATACAAAAAGCTCCAGCAGAAGCTGGACCCTATAAGCTATACCTCCTCTGTACCAATCGAAGCTCTAATGGCTTCAGAAAGCAGTCACACTCTATGAGCAGACAATTGAAGAGATTTAGTAAATCCCACTTTATAGAGCACAGACTAATCAGAAAACACAAGCCAGTCAAATGTTTCTTATGAACTGTTGACACTACATCAATGCCGAATCAATTGGCGGCATTTTTGCTGAGTGACAGAAAAGAAATAAATATTTATATCACATAACCTATATCAATGGACCTAGGCAGAAAGCTATTTCTAACCTGTCAATATCTGATTATCTTGAAGAATCGTATCCCCTTTCTTTTAATGATTAATATGAATTCCTTATTAAATCTAAGTAGAGAGGAAAACATCTTTATTAATGTTTTAAAGCAAAAGGTGCAAAATCCCTTATACTAGACTAAAGTGTGGCATTAACCATCAAATTGTAAAAAGCCCTTAAAACTTACAAGCAATGAAACTTTGCCACCAGTTCTTCTCTATCAAACACAACTCACAACAGCATTCCAGAGCAAGTGCTCCAAGGAAATGCAGCAGTTCAGAGCCTAACCCCCATCCTCACCCCTAGCCGCCCAGAGTAGACTTTGGTCTAGATGGGCAGGGTATATATTTATTTAATTAATTAATTACAGTTTAGCTCTCCCTAACAGGGACAGAATTGAAACATGGTACATATGGATAGTGCATGAACTGTACACATGATGTCTTTCCCATCCATGTTCTATGCACTTATGAATATATGTGCATCCCATATGACACATCCCATTGTCCACACAAAGCAAAATGATTAAGGAAACATGTACACTGGGAACGACTGCTGACCAGCATATCCAAAGCAGATTAAAAATAAAGTTACTCAACCATTTCAGCAGACTTTCACTCCATTACTTTTTATACTGAGCATTCAAGGAATATCAAAAGAGCACAGCTAATGCCCAGCATGGCCAGAAAACTAAGCAAGTCTACAATCTTAAAATCAGCTTTTCCCACATTCCAACATGCATGATGGACTTATCAAAACTAAATGACTGGGAAAATTTTCTTCCTTTTCAAGTATTAAAAACCTTAATTCCATTATTTTAAAAAATCGAAATGCATCTGTTCCCAGTTTTGAAAAAAATGTTTTTCTATGTTCAGCTTTTTCTTCTCTACCATATAAAACTTAAATATTTATTATAAAAAGCATTTCTGAAAGATTAAACAAAATAGTGTTTAATAATAATACTGTTTAAATAATATTTACCTTTTTAACAAAGCTTAAATCTGCATACCTATATTTCAAGCAAGAGCCACATTCTATTCCTAAAAAGACAAACTGAAACCATATTCCTAAGTTTTACTTAAACAATTCTGTCCACAAATAAGCAAGGCTATGTGCAGGTGACACTGGCAGACCCATTCTCATCTATTAAGAGCACAATGTTACAGGTGATCTGCTGAAGGACAAGCAGGAAGACCAGCTTTTATCTTCTTGACACGCTCAACTACAACTACTTGATTCATGAAATGCCAATGAGGCTTGGAGAGGTCACTGTGTGAAGGCACTGAATACGCATCTGAGATAATTAAGATTTCAGCCTTCGAAACACGGAAGGGAAGTGAACAGCAGTTAAGAAAATCAATAAGAGTCTTTTATTTGCAGTGACACAGATGTCTCAGTCAATAGTGTCTAATAGGCAAGCTTGATCGCAGTGGACAGGTGCCTGCCTCCAAGGCTATCAACGGGCTTTCACCATGACAAACATTAAAACTTATTTATGTTGCTATTGAAGAATCCTTCTGCCTTGCAGGTACTTTCATTTAGTGGTATATATTTAAAATCATTATGCTACTTTGGGCCTTCCTGTCTCTTTGAATCAAACATGGCCAGAAAGGACTTACCTTGAGGGGTCCATTTGCCCGTCAATTGTGAGGCAATTGTAAGCACTAGAGGAAGGAGAGGAAGCCTTCTACAGTTTTCCTCTTTTATACAGGAAACAAACAACAATGGGGGCCCAAGGAACATGACAATGTATACTTTCTACTAGTGCTTCAGTTATTCAACATCTGGCAGCAAATGCATTTACACCCATATGCAAAGCTCTGGCAAACCAGAAAACCTATTTTGTTATTCAAAATTGATTAAGTTTTCTTCTCTGAATTGAAGCAACAAAATGAAGGGTGGGAAAGGCACTTCAATCTATTTGGAGCTAAATCTGATTAGTGTGTTTTGAGAAAGGGGAAGCAAATTGCTGTGCCAATCCAAATCAATCAGGACAGAGACTCCTCTGTAATACAAGTCCTTTCACAGCCTCTCTACTACTTTATTAAAAGAACACATTACTAATAAATGAGCAGTAAGCATCTCCAAGGCTATCTTGAAACAATTAAGGTGAAAGGTCATCCTGTTTGTAGCTGGCCTTAATCCAATGCACCTACCTGGCCATTAGCTAATATTTTCTTCAGTTCTGCTGAGGACTTCTTCAAACTACAGAATTGAGAAAGACAAAAGGGGGGGCATTTTAGTAAATGAACAGAATCATTGTTCATATAAAAGTTTATACTGTTGCTTATTGTTTCACTTGCCAACAATCAGACATGTGTGAATTAGCACAGATACATCAACCTGGAATAAAATATTGAAAACATGCCTATATAGACTTACCGTATTTTTCCATGTATAAGACTATACTTTTGTCTAAAATCTTTAGACTGAAAATTGAGTGTCGTCTTATACACGGAAGTAAGCTGAGGAGAGAAAAAACCAAATGGAGGGGAAAGCAGGGATCAAACTGATCCTGCAGGGCTTTGATCCCTGCTTTCCCCTCCACTTGCTAAGCCTTAGCAAAAGGAAAACAGGGATCAAAGCACTGCAGGATGGCTTTGATTCCTCCTTTTCCCTCTGTTAACTAAGTTCCATGGGGCTCAGCAAAAGGAGGGGGGAAAGGATCAAAGCAATCCCATGATTGTGTAAATGGGAAAAGGATCAAAATGATCATGCAGTCATGGAATTGCTTTGATCCCTTTCCCCCATGGGGCTTAGCACAAAGGGAGAAAGCAGGGATCGAAGCCATCCTGCAGTGCGTCGATCCCTTTCCCCCTAAACGTGCTAAGACCCACTTAGATTTCTTAATTTTGGGTTAGAAAATGGGGGCGCCTTATACATGGGGCATCTTGTACACAGAAAAATACAGTACCTTTTATCATTTACATAGAATCATAGACTAATGGAGTTGGAAGGGGCCTTTCAGGCCATCAAGTCCAACCCCTGTCTCAATGCAGTAATCCAAATCAAAGCAGATCTCAGACAGTTGTCCTATTTTGTCTTAAATGCCTCCAGCGTTGGAGCACACTCACCACCTTCTAAAGTTAAGAATTTTTTTGTGAACCTAAATCTGGTTTCCTATAGTTTGAGTTGATTATTACACGTACTGCTCTAACAATTAAGAATTTTTTTGTGAACCTAAATCTAGTTTCCTATAGTTTGAGTTGATTATTACGCCCTGTCTCCTCTGGGATGATCGAGAATAGAGTCTGCCCCTCCTCTATGTGTCAAAGTTTGCAGTATTTGATAAGAGCTATCATATCTCTCTTCAGTCTTCTTTTCTCAACATGCCCAGTTCTTTCAGTCTTTCCTCACAGAGCTTTGTTTCCAGACCCATGACCATCCTTGTTGCCTGCCTCTGAACTTTTTCCAGTTTGCTGGCATCCTTCTTAAAATGGACACAAAACTGGACACAGTACTCTAGATCAGGCCTAACCAGTGAAGAATAAAGGGGAAATAGTAACAAAGTAGTGTTTAGGCACTAGATTGGTGGGATATAAATGTAATGAATAAAGGAATGAAAATAGTACCTCATGGGATTTGGAGACTATATTTCTGTTAATGGATCCTAAAATAACATTTGTCTTTTCTGGCAGCCACATCACACATTTGACTCATATTCAGCTCTTGATCTACAACAATCCCAAGAAACTTCCCACTCATAGTACTACTGAGGCAAATATCCCCCACCTTGTAAGCATGCATTTGTTTTGTTTTCCTCTAAATGCAGAACTTATGTCTACAGCATTTCTGTCATCTACCGGGGGGGGGGAGGGTTCCCAATCAAAAATGAGATGAGTTTAGTATAACAGGCTTTGTTCTTGAAAAATCCATGTTGCCATCTAGTTATTACTGCACTGTTTTTAAGGTGCTTGGACAGCGACTGCTTTATAATCTGCACCAGAATTTTCCCTGGAATTGATGTCACCCTGACTGGTCTGTAATTCCCAGGTTCCCTCTTTTTACCCTATTTAAAGACAAAGACAATCTTAACTCTCCCCCAATCATCCAGTACTTCACCCATCCTCCATGATTTCAAGAAAACAATAGACAGTGGTTCTATAATCTCTTCCCGTCAGTTCCTTCAATATCTTTGGATGCAGTACATCCAACCCTGGGAATCTGTATACAGTGGTGCCTCGCATAGCGATCACTCCGTATAGCAATGAAATCACTTTGCGATGGACTTTTTGCCATTGCAAGAGCGATCGCTTTGTGATGGCCCCAATGGGGAAATTTCGCTTTGCGATGATCGCAGAGAAGCGATCATCGCAAAGCCCCCATTTTTGGCCAGCTGATCAGCGGTTCCAAAATGGCCGCCCACTGTTTTGCCTCGCTTTAGAGGCACCGAAAATGGCCGCCGCAATGAAGGATTTTCGCATAAGGTTAGTTTTTAAGCCCATAGGAACACATTAAACGCATTTTAATGTGTTTCTATAGGCTTTTTAAAATCGCTTCGCGATGAGATCGCTTAGCAGCGATTTTTGCTGCACCAATTAACATTGCTAAGTGAGCCACCACTGTACATTTAAAGTACTGTAGTAAGGTACTCCTTGATTATTTGTTTATCAATCTCAAACTGCATCCCTACTCCCTCCTTTTGTACTTCACATTTGATTGGAGGAGCACAGACTATCTTTTCGGAGAAGCCCGAGCTGAAGCAGGAACTGAGCACTTCTACGGTTTCTTTATCATCTGTTACGATTTTCCCATTCCCTCTGACAATGTTCATCTCTTGCTAATCTCAGCCCATTCTCAGCTTTTACTTGCCTAACAATTCTTTGCTACTTGTCTGTAATCTTCCTTTGTACCCTGACCTTCATTCCCTGAAGTGTTCTTCCGGATGTGTCCTTTTAAAAATCATTTTCAGGTCCTCTCTGAGCTTTTTGTGAGGCCACACAGGTTTGTTTTTTTTTTGCTCTCTTCTATCTTTTTTTCTTGTTGGAATTGTTTGTAGAATTTCCTTTTCAAAGAAGCTCCCATCGATCTTGGACTCCTTTTTCTGATAGGATATCCTGCCATGGAACCTTACCTATCATTTTTCGGAGTTTATTAAAACTAGCTTTCCTAAAATCCAGCATATATGTGCAGCTACACTCTCTTTCGAAATTACAAAATCAAGTAGAACACGGTCACTTCCCCCCAGAGTTCCTCTTGTTGCTACTTCTTCCACCAAGTCATCTCTATTGGTTAGGATCAAATCCAGGATCCTAATCAATAGAGGTCACTATAGAGGCTCATCATTTAGTCGTGTCTGACTCTTCGTGATCCCATGGCCCTCCTATCCTCCACTGCCTCCCAGAGTTGTGTCAGATTCATGCTGTTAGTTTCGATGACACTACTCCTCCAATTTCTTCCTCCACACAAGCCAGGAATTTCTTAGAAGGTCTATATTTGGCAGAATTTGTTTCCTTACAGGTATCAGGATAATTGAAATCTCCCATTACTACTTTGAAATTCTTGCATGTTTGTTTCTCAAAAATTTCATCTGCATCTTTTTCTTGGTGGGCTATCAGTAGTAGTTCCAACTAGCCTGTTCCTTTTGTTTTTGGCCCCAATTATATTAATTCAGATGCTCTCGATGGGACAACCAGGTTCGTCCTCTTGTATTTCTATTCAGGAACATGTGTTTCTGACATATTGTGCTACTCCAACTCCCTTTCTATTCTTCCTGGGTTTTTTTAAAACAATTTATATTCTTCAGTTGCTGTATTCCAGTCATGGGAATCATCCCACTAAGTTTCAGTTATCTCTATCTAGTCATATTCACCCTCCTGAACTCGGATTTCCAGTTCTGCTTGTTTGTTTCCCACGCTCCTGGGATTCGTATATGGACACGGACCTTCAATTACCTTCTGGTAGCTTTCATTGCCTACTCTCCACACTGGATTCTGCGTCTGCATTTCCCACAAAACATCCTCACTGTCATATCTCGGTGGTTTAGGTCTCTGGCTGTGGAGTCAGAGGTTGGGAACTCAGTTCCCCACTGTGCCTCCTTGACAGGGACTAGACTCAATGATCCATAGGGTCCTTTCCGACTCTGCAGTTCACCTTACATGACATCTTTAGTCTCTGTGTCCACCCCTTCTTCTGCCTTATCTCCCATCCTGTTCTTTACCCCTGATCACTAAAGCTCCAACCTCCCTTTTGCTCCCTAGCACATCGTCGTACCTCCTTTTAATTGGACATTGCTAGATCACTAGTGTCCCATGAGGCTTTGGAGTGAGCTTGGGGCACAAACCTGCACTGCTTTCATGAGAATGAGAGGAAACTATGCACAAAGAGCTTTTGTGAAGCCCTACTGATTTTAATAGGACTTGTGCAAGAAACATTTCTGCTATGTTGTGCCCTTAAAAGTTAAATGGTGAACAAACCACCTAAGCACTACTGCTACACAACTCACTCCTGGGGGGGGCGGGAAGAAAGCAAAAAAGAGGGGGAAAGGTACCTTCTTGACAGCTATAAACATCTTGATCATTGATCATGACTGAAATAGAAATGTGTATGTAGTACCTTTGTTCTTTAATAGGCTTCATATCTGCTGGACTGCTTTAAAGAAGAGTCCTTTGCGAAATGAAATGTATACTGATCTTGTCATCTCTCACAACCAACTGTTTTGTGAACATGAAACAGAGGCAGACTGTCAGTGACTTCAAAACAGTCATTCCTAATGCAGATGAGTTTGGGAAAATGAAAGCCAATTAACTGCCCCATTAGATGTCAGCCTCAGCTCAGGGCACTGTTTCTAGGGCTTTCTCAGAACTGGCTCAAAGTAGGTGGAGAAAACAAACGACCACAGAACAGGCCAGGAAGGGAGGGGGATTGCTAGGAAAAACATCACTATTAAGCATAAATTGTGTAATAACACAGGTTATTACAATTATAATACTTTCTTGAGAATCCTTACACTCGTTTTGGTCAGCAATAGGTTTATTTTCAACTTCAAGTTTTTCCATTTAACCACTTAACCACAGTACTTATCTATCAACTATAGGATTGTCTGACTTCTCATGGGCTGGGTTAGACAAAACACATACCGTATTTTTCACTCCATAAGACGCACCTTTCCATAAGACACACCAATTTTTTAGGAGAAGAAAACAGGAAAATATAATCTGTTTTCTTCACTCCATAAGATGCACAGACTTTCCACCCTCCTGTTTTGTGGTAAAGAAGTGTGTCTTATGGTGCGAAAAATACGGTAATTTTCCAGCATTGGGAAGCATTTTCAACTCTTAAAAAACCACCCTGAGTCCATCAAACAGCATGGATTTGCATTATACTCTGTTTCCGCGAAAATAAGACCTGATCTGAAAATAAGCCCTAGTATGATTTCTCAGGATGCTGGTAATATAAGCCCTACCCCCAAAATAAGCCCCGGTTAAGTGAAACCCTGCCCTCCACCGTTGTGCAGCCTTGTGCAGCAACCAGAAGAAGATATGACTGTATTAGAATAAATGTAGATTGTTGTACATTAAAAAAATACAACATCTCCTGAAAATAAGTCCTAATATGTTTTTGGAGCAAAAATTAATATAAGGTTTACAATATAATTATAATATAATTCATATAATATAACCCTGTCTTATTTTCAGGGAAACATGGTACTTACGGATAAATACTCTCTCCTGCATCTCCTACATATAGTAGACAATAGAAGGACCAACCTATCTTTGAAGCCTTTTGTTTTGTGCCTTTTTGCAAGATTTTATTTTCACACATCCCACTATTTAGCATTTCTACATGCCTTTGTTCTTGACTGCTTATTCAAATTCAAGTCCAGTATCCGTCACAATCATCCCTATAATCACAATTTCACAATCATGTTTACATTTTTTTCAAATGAATGAAAGAGCCATGCTGGATCAAACTAAAATCTCCATGCAGCTCTTTGCAGGGGCCAGCCACACTCTCCTGGGAAGCCCAAAAGCCGGACATGAGTGCAACAATATCCTCTCACTCAAACTCCCAATAAACTGATATACAGAGGAAATATGGCTTCTGGTACTGGAGGAGCTATATAGCAATCACAACTAGTAGCCACCGATAGGTCCATTCTTTAGGAATTTGCCCAACCTTTAAAAAAACTGTTCAACTTGGCTGCCATCATTACATCCCATTTCACCGAATTTTACAGTTTAATTATACACTGTGTGAATTATATGCTGAATCTCCTACCATTCAGCTTTAATGGATGAATGAAGATAGGGGGATCTTGAACTAGGAGACTGATTCAGAGGTGTTTCCCTGATGCAGCTCCTCCCTTCTACTCCTAGGCCATTCTGTACACAGTCATTTTATTCTCATAACTTTTCATGCAACACAGCCAGGATCCACAAATCCTGGTCCCTTCTCCATTTCCCCTGTATTTGGGGTTCCCTCAAGCATTGCTCTTCTTCCATTTCCTGCTAAAATCCTCTGGCTGTGAGTCTTGATGCGATACTCAGCTGATTCAGACCACCCTAACATTTTTCTGTAGCCACTATATCGAGCACAGCCCCTGCAACAGTGGGGAAGTAAATATTTACATTAAAGAATGAGGTGATCATATTGTAACAGGTGAGTACTAGGCCTACACAAAACACCTATTAAAGGAGAATAATTTGAAAAGGAACTGTGAGTTCATGAAAATTAACATGCCGGGTTTGACATTTTTATTCTGTTTGACTTGCAAAACATCATCTGTTTTGTCAACTATATTGCCAGTTTATGGAGTCAAACCCAAGGTTGAAGATTGTTGAATTGCTCAGAATAACTAAATGAATCCATAGCTAGGAAAGGAGTTGAAATCTGCTTACTGTGCTCCTTGTCCTCAGTGCCTTTCCAGTGTGTTAAACTGCATGCTTGATTATTCACATTTTAATCTATACATAGGGGAAATTGTATTAATATGTGTATATAGAACTGCTGAAAGCTCTAGATTGGGACAGATGCATAGGAAAAGCATCACAGTACCAGGCTGTCAAAAGAAGCAATCTGCAAAGCTGAAATCCAGCAACAAGTCACAATTAAAGTAGGCTGACTGAATCGGTAGGGATTTGGTGAATCAACTCTTCCTTAAGTGCAATTGATTCAATGGGCCTACTCTAGTTGCAACTTATTACTGGATTTCAGCCAAAGACTAATAGTTTTTCCAACATGGCATAACAATCTTGCTGAAAACTGCTCAACCAAATCCCCCTGAAGTTATCCAGCATTTCCCCATTTCCCTCTGTTAATTACTATGCAGAAATAACTTGCAGGATTCTCTTTTAATGGAAAGCGTGCACACTCTTCTCTCTGATTCTTACCTATTGCTCGGAAGGGAGTCTGGAACTGCTGCACTGCTATTGTTAGCAGACCCTGCTCGCGTATTTACCTGCAGGCAGGAAACAAATCTTTATCAGTTCCTTTTATTCAAAGGATATCACTCTAATTAACCTGTACTTTGCCACGAATTTCATATTTCACTAGAAAGGTTAATTAGCTAGATGCCCATGGTAGAAACCCAGTCTCTATGAAGTTTACCACATCATGTTATTGAGGAATTGTTCTGTTTTATTCACTCTGCATTTGATATGCTTGGTTAAGAAATGCAATCAGGAACAAGCACTCAATAAAGCTTTTGTTCCATTCCTATTAAATACATCTCTTCCCTCCCAACAACCTCTCTGCACTAATATATCAATTGCAATTGTGTAACGTCACCGGAAGGACTGAGCATACTTAGTCCATTGTGAGCAGTTACAATTCCAATAAATAAAATATTATCCAGATATGTGTCAGAATGTGAAAGATAAAAAGTACACAATGTTCAGACTATTCTTAACAGGCATAGATCAATCAACAACAAATGAATGCAATTTTTTTTCTTTGTTACAAATTACTGGCATAGTCCAACTTTCACATTTGAATGGGGCATGTAAAGGTGCAACAGGGAAAGAGGGACTTTGCCCTTTATATTTGACGGGTTTATTTAAGAAATGTATTAATGAAAGCAAAAAAAGGAAACCACTCATTAAAAAACTAGCATGAGATGTTCAGATAGCACAGTCAGCACCAAACACAAAAATATTTTCTATGCTATTTTTTAAAAAATCTGCTTGTCAAGGCTCAGAAAGTACAGTTTTATTTGACATTTCAATAAGTGGAACACAGTATTGCAAATCCATCTAAGTTTACTGAAACAATTATTGAAATCCCTACCTTCAGGCCATGTATGTTCCGTTTCCCAGGAGGTTTGCAGGCTGAAACAGTAATTGACTAAACTGTAGAACACATCAGAGCTATTTACAAATTCACTCAAAGTGAAGGTTTTTTTTTTAAAAAAATGAGAATACAAAAATTAGTAGCAAGAAGAGTTCCCAAGACCCAAAGTAAGAATTATAAAGCAACATTTCTAGACCTACAAGACTGTGCATATTCTTAAAACCAATGAAAGGTGAGGTGGGCAAACTGTGTGGAGGATGCTACAGCCATGACCGGACAACCCAGAGGCCAGTGATCTGCATTCTATGCTATGAGTTTATTCTATTTTGTATTTTAATGATCTTCATGTGGAAAATCAAAACCTGAGGCTCAAAATCAAGTATCTCAGCAAGACAGCAAACATGAGTTACAGAATAAAGTATAATTTCATTCCCCATTTACACAAAACTAGTGGCCAGATGTTATTAAATACAGATGAAGGACCACAATACAAGGAAAAAAATGTTTCCTTAAAACCTCTCAAACTACTTCACTTCCCCCTCCGTGCAGTGCATGTGCTTTTGTCAAACATTAAACTCACAAAGGCTTCAAGCTATATGTTACAGACAGCTCCCATTTTAAAACTACAGTGCCCTACAAATTGTATGTTAAAGGGCCTGTCAATTTTGATTGATTGTCTGGGGAAGGATGAATTTGATCCCCCACCCCGCCTTCCTCAGAAATACATGCATTTCACTTCTGGGTTTGACAGCAGGAAACAAAGCAATTTATTAAGCAGAAGGACACAGACAATAGTTATTAAACACAGCAGTTAGGGTAGACCGATGCAATTTAAACTACATTAAACATTACTATTATATTCTTAAATAAGAAATATAACAGTGCCAGTCTGAGGGGAGGAGAGATCAGGGTGTGAGGAAAATCTGAAAAGTATCCACTGAAAATGTAATCAGTCAAATTAGGGAAGAAGGAAACTAGCAGAAATTGGGGGTGTGGGGTGAGTTTAAAAAAAACAAATAGAATCATTTCTTTTCAGAACATGTACTATGAAAAAAATTACTTAGATTCTGAGTTAAGCCATAATTTGAAGAGATATGAAAAATGAAACACAAAATAATACATGAAAAGTGCAATTATAACTTTCCCAAGATAGCAGGATGATTTGAGCTTACTTCTTAGAATTCTAACCATTTGACTTGTTGTGTACCACGTAGTTCTCCTTGCTTTAAATAAAAGCAAAACAGTTTGAGACCAAGTTATCGAAAACCCATCTTCATATGTGAATATTTGCCTCAGGGGATCTTCAGATTTATCAAGATCAATCAGGCTGTCACACAAGAGGGCTAGGCTACAGCCTTCTCTGGGGTAGCCCTAGAGCTGTGGAATTCCTTTCCTATTGATGGGTCCCCTCTTCCAAAAGGCATTCACCCGCAGCTTCGAGAAACTCCTTGATGCTGTCTGTTTTAGGTTGTGTCTTAATTTCTTGCCCTTCTTGATTGTATTTTGCTTTGTGAAGATTCAGGTCCCCAAAAAAGTCCTTTAAAATGCCTTAAATAGATATATTATATCTAATTACTTCATTGCGTTACAACCCTAACCAATATCTTGTATCACTTTAAACCATTTCTCTCTGTAACTGAATTTCAATTTCTATACAGGCCAAGCAAAAAGGCACAAAAAGTGTTCAGAACGACAGAAAAAATGCACAACCTTTGAAAATACACTCTCTTCAACAGGTAAGAGGCTAAATGGAAGCAGAAGAGGTAGAAAGACTAATTTCCCATCTTTGTGGTTTGCATATTTTTCTGGATTCTATGAGGCAGGAATGCTGCAGCCAAAGAAATGGGTCTTATCAATGATGTTAGATTTCACCAGGAATGGCTCACCGAGACTCACCCAGAACTAGAAATTTAGAAACGTAAGCCCCTCTCCTCTCAGACTATGAATTCAAAAACAAGTTTCAAGCACTTATTACAAAAGGTGCTTTCTCCCAAAGTCAGACAAATCATGTAACAAATCTGTACATAAAAAATAATTTATCTCTTGACCATTTGAGCTAGAAAGTACCGATAGAGAGAATATGGAAAACGGGTACTGAGAAATATCCCTCTTTCCACTGATGGAAACACACAGGCATTTCCTTCTTTCTTAGTTAGGAATGGAAAAGTTCTCCATAAACAAGAGAATGTTTTATGCAGCCCCTAGCATTTCCTCCTGTCAGTGTGACTCTTCTCTTAATCCCAGACGACCTGCTGAGTCATAATTCAGAGAGACAAGAGAAAGCAAGGAGGTTGAAAGCACGAGGACCAGCTCAGTGGCTCAACTGGAGTACTTTTACCTATTAGACTTTTGGGCTCACACAGGTACTGTACCTTGCTTGCCTTACTTTGCTCCTCTCATGTTTCCTCAGAGATTAAGGAAAGGAACATGAAACAAGGGGAGTGAGGATAGAATAAGGTAGAACGTAGTGTAAGTGAAGGGCTCTGCAAACTTCATTAGCCAATATTCTACTGCAGAAATGTGGAATGAAAGAATTGCATAAGGGGTTCCTCCCAGCTCCAGTAGGTTCCCTGTGTGCCTGACCAAGAGCCTGCAAAAGCACGAGAGACACTTACCGGGCTGCCCTTCCACAACAGCATACCAGCCATTGTCTTTGAACAGATGCGTAGACTGTATGCATGTGAGGGCATCCCGAAATGGAAGAGAGAATAAAGGGATGATGGATGAGATGGGTGTGCTTATGCATGAGTAAGAGAGAGGAAAAAATGACACAAAAACACATACTTTGCATGTGCAAAGAAAGGTGAAAAAGAGAATGGGAGAGAGAAAGGGGATGTTTTTCCCTTCCCACCAATATGCAGCCATTGCCCAACTGCCCCTAATGGAATGGGTCACTCAGCTTGAACAGGGCTGCTCATCTTTGCTTTGTACTCATTTCTCTTCCACATAATGATCTCTAAAATGCCTACACTAACAGCTTCCTATTGAGACCTTATTAGCATGTGCTAGAGAATCCTGTTGGCTAATTCCCCAATTCAAACTTTGGAGTTATAAGTAATGAACATTCTGCAGTGTTTTAATTGTCAAGCTCACGTTATAAGTATTTGCATATTACTGGTTAACTGAGGAAGAGTTTAATTTTTAATTATTACAATTAATTTATTGTGGGGAGATTCACTTGTAGAATTCAGAACCATTTCTCTTTTAGCAATTAACAACTACACTTTCAGAGATGGGAAAAGGGGAAATGGTTGAGCTAATAGGGAAAATTACGGAACATGTCAATACGTATGCATTAAGAGGAAAACCCTTTATCCCATTTTTGTCATTGATAGCAAAAATGTGGGCCATGAAACAGAGCTGGACTGCTCTATCTGGCTTGGTGGTTCCAAGCCGATGTATTATCTACTTTATATCTTCACAAGCGTTCATTACCGTCAAATGAAAAAATATTCAATATACCTAATTTGTACAATACAATTTCAGTCTAATTTGCTATTTGTTTCTTCTTTTGGATCTGTAATATGTGCAGGTTCTCCAGTACAATAAACTCCTCTACCCAAACCTACTACAATAATATGACACGGCATGCACTTAAAATCTTTGGGGGAAAAAACAACAAACTGCTGATAGAGCAGCTTATAAATATTACTGCCAGTAACCAGAAATTGTTTAAACTTTACCTCTTGGGTAGATCTGCAGAGGCACTATTAACTGTCCATTTATTTGTTGCTCCATTACAGTAGTGTAGTACTGCAAAAAAGAAGAAAGAAAGAAAGAAAGAAAAGAAACGAACAAAAAACAGAATAAAATTGCTGTGGTAACATATATTGACTGGCAACAATTCCAGAGCAATTATGGTGGCTACAACAGAAGGATCAAAGTAGGTTGCAATAGCAGTGATGTGGGCTACGGCATAAAGCATTTACCCTCCTCCCCCCCAATCAACACCAGCACTTTAAGAAGAGTTTCTGTAAACCTTCCTCTGAACCTTAATAGGAGGTGGAAAAAGGCTGTCTCAAAGCCATGTTCCTTTCCTTCCCCTTCAGCTATGCTCACTCCAGAAAGGCTGACATGGAAATACAGGAGACCCCATAACACAATCACAACTTCAGAACAGCACCAAATTTGGCACGGATGTTGCTCTGTGGTAAATTTGGGGATGTTTGGGCAAAGGGTTTAGGAGCCATCATTTAAAAACAATGACACTGTTTTACCCCTTTCCCTGTTGTTTAGTCATTAAGTTGTGTCCGACTCTTCGTGACCCCATGGACCAGAGCACACCAGGCCCTCTCCTCTACCCAAACCTACTACAATAATATGACACGGCATGCACTTAAAATCTTTGGGGGAAAAAACAACAAACTGCTGATAGAGCAGCTTATAAATATTACTGCCAGTAACCAGAAATTGTTTAAACTTTACCTCTTGGGTAGATCTGCAGAGGCACTATTAACTGTCCATTTATTTGTTGCTCCATTACAGTAGTGTAGTACTGCAAAAAAGAAGAAAGAAAGAAAGAAAGAAAAGAAACGAACAAAAAACAGAATAAAATTGCTGTGGTAACATACATTGACTGGCAACAATTCCAGAGCAATTATGGTGGCTACAACAGAAGGATCAAAGTAGGTTGCAATAGTAGTGATGTGGGCTACAGCATAAAGCGTTTACCCTCCTCCCCCCCAATCAACACCCGTCATTCATTCATCCATCTATCTATCTATCTATCTATCTATCTATCTATCTATCTATCTATCTATCTATCTATCTATCTATCTATCTATCTATCTATCTATCTATCTATTTGATTTTTACCCCGCCCCTCTAGACCATGTCTACTCGTGGTAAAACGAGTGGTAAAACCGCTTCTTAAATATTTCACGTAGTTTGAAAGCCTTATTAGGGCCACTTTAACTTGATTCCAATTTAGAATTTTTATGCTGATCCATTGAAAAACCAATTCAGTGGATCTACTATGTTAGGGGTAGCCATTGAATATTGAGCCGTGTCCCCAGATCTGCTACCCTGTCAGCCTGCCACAGATTCTAGAAGTCTCTCCCACAAGGAGGTTAGACTGGCCCCATCTTTCCTGTCCTTCCACAAGCAGGCTGTTCATGTTTTCTGGTATTGTATTCATTGATCCTTATAGTGTTAGACACTCATTGTTAATAGTCTTAAATACAGTGGTGCCTCGCATAGCGAGGTTAATCCGTTCCGGATTAACCTTCGCTATGCTGAAGCATCGTTGAACGGGGCAGGGATTTCAATTGGAACGCATTAAACATGGTTTAATGCGTTCCAAATGAGCCAA